TCACAGGGACACTGGGGAGCTGGACATCTGGGGACGGGGACAAACAGGGTCAGCTGGGGTCACAGGGACACTGGGGAGCTGGACATCTGGGGACGGGGACAAACAGGGTCAGCTGGGGTCACAGGGACACTGGGGAGCTGGACATCTGGGGATGGGGACAAACAGGGTCAGCTGGGGTCACAGGGACACTGGGGAGCTGGACATCTGAGGACAGGGACAAACAGGGTCAGCTGGGGTCACAGGGACACTGGGGAGCTGGACATCTGGGGATGGGGACAAACAGGGATCACAGGGACAACTGGGGACAGGGTTACAGGGACACTGTGGAGGTGGACATCAGGGGACAGGAGACAAACAGGGTCAGCTGGGCAGAGGGACATCAGGGAGCTGGACATCTGGGGACAAGGGACAACCAGGGGTCAGCTGGGGTCACAGGGAAAGCAAGGGGACAGGAGTCACATGAGGACAGGAGGGACAGCAGGGAGCTGGACATCTGGGGACAGGAGGCAGCCAGGGACCGGGGAACACTTGGAGGGACACTCTGGGGGCCAGAAGTGACTTTTGTGGGGACGTCGGGTGACACTGTCAGGGGTGGGTGACACATGAGGGGGCAATGAGTGGGACAGGGGGCACACAGGATGACAGCAGGGACAAGGAGTGATGCTGGAAAAAGATGTGGGGTGGCACCAGGTGACACTGGAAGTGGCATCAGGGATGGGGAGGGCGATGCAGAGTAACATCAGCTGACACCACAGGATGGACAGGGTGACACCAAGTGACACTAGAGATGGACAGGGTGATGCTGGGTGACACCAGGTGACACTAGGTGACACCAGGTGATGCTGGGTCACGGGAGGTGGCACCAGGTGATACCACGGGATCAAAGGTGACGTTAAGTGACACTAAGGACGGACAGGGTGACATGGAGTCATGGGCGGGGACACCAGGTGGGACGGCAGGTGACACCAAGTGACACCAGGGATGGATACGGTGACACTGCGTGACAACAAGGGATGCACGGCTGCAAGGGGGACTCTGGGTGACACTGAGGGATGGAGGAAGACACTGGGGAACAGGGACAGTGGCACTGAGAGACAAGGGGGGACACCAGATCACACCGCCAGCACCCCCCGGACCCAGGCACCAGGGGCTCCAAGAAACGAGGGTCCCGGGGCCCCATCACTGGGGGAGGTTCCATTGCAGGGGTTCCCCATTAATCGGGGCGTTCCCCATTAACCGGAGGGTCCCAGTTCCGGGGGTTTCATTGCGGGAGTTCCGCATCGCCGAGGGCCTTTCCCATCCCCAGGGGTCCCCGAGAGAGGGGT